GTGGCTACATAAGGAACTGGGACTCTTGTGGAGGGCAGTGTTGTGGCCCGCCAGTGGCCAGCAGAGCTGGCAGCAGAGACGGACAATGAGAGGGTTGGGGAGGAAGATGGGCCAGTCCTGGAGTCTGGGGAAGGCTCAGAGGAGGGTTCTGTGTCGGAGGCAGAGAGGGGGCCAGGGCCGTCTGACAGTTATCAACTGCCTTCGGAGTCAGACATCAGTGAGGCAGAAGAACAGCTGGAGCCTGTTCCCAGTGTGCGCATGTGCAGAGTTACCAGACGAAGGGAAGAGCTAAAAAACAAGGGTTGACTTGGGAGTAAGGCCACAGGTGGACGATCCCATAGTGAATAAAAGAGGAGCGACAGGGGAGTGGAGTTTGCAGGAGGCAATTAATTCTTTCCTGCATTCTTGCCAAGCATTCTGAAAGAGATCGGCCGGGCCCCTCTCCAAGCCAGAAAGGTCGGTAATTGTGACCCATCTTGAAAAACTGTGGGAGAGGAAAGACTTTGCTGGAGAGGAAGTCACTGTCAATTAAATAAAAGGGGTTTATCGGGACGAGGACTCGGTTTCGTGACGCTGGGGAAGCCTAGATCAGAACAGGACAAGGGGAAGAATTCCTCTCTAGCTGAGAAGGGGTTAATCAGGGGAACAGGTTGCCTCCAGATGTTGCTCCATCCCTGGAGTTTTTTAGGAAGAGTTGGGACAATCATTTGTCTGAAATTATATCAGGCCCTCTGCTCAAGCACTGGGTTGGACTAGAAGACCTCCAAGGTCCCTCCCAATTTCTCTTTGTCTCTCACCTCTGGTTCTCGCAGGCCAATGGAGGAACTCGGCGATTATTCCGAAGTCTACATGCTCCGAGCCGTGGCAGTTGGGCAGACGACCTTAGTGGCCACAGCTTGGGACAAAACAGGAGTTAAATTCATGTCCTCGCCACGGAAAGTGGAGGTAAGGACACGCAGGCCTAACCCTCAAAATTAGCCCTGTTAGAAACTGCTTGGATGAGACTTCTCCAATGTCTACGAAATCAGTTGCAAACTTTCTATTGATCGATCGATCGATTTTTTCCCCCCACAGTTTTGAACCGCTCATCTTCCCCGGAGATGGATATGTTAAAAGCTTTGTAAATTAAAAGATGGGCAAATTAGAAGATTTGCAAATGGCAATCATTATAATTTTAAAGGTTTGCAAATTAAGCCAAATGAAAATCTTTATAAATTTAAAGGGTTTGCAAATTAGAGAAAATGAGAATCTTTAAAATTTAAAAGGTTTGAAAATTAAGCCACAGGAAAATCTTTACAAATTTAAACACCTGCAATTTAAAGCAAATAAAAACCATTATGAATTTAAAGCTTTGGAAATTAAAGCAAACGAAAATCCTTATCAATTTAAAAGGGTTGCCAGTGAATTTTTCTCATCAATTTAAAGATTGGCGAATTTAAAAAGATTTGCCAATCCAAACCACTAACCATTTAAAGATTTGCGAATTAAAAAAAAAAAAAGTTTACAAATTAAAACCTTCGTCGGAGAAGAGCTTTGCAGAATTGAAAGATTTCTCAATTATTATTTTTTTTGTTTTAAAGAGGGAAGCGCGAATTATCGTCTTGCCCCTCGGTCCGTTGGGTAAAATCAGATGCTGCCACGTTCTTTTTTTTTTTAAAAAAAAATTCCTTTCCCTCTCCCAATAATAACTTGACGCCGTTGTGTCTTTTGCCAGATTTTCCCCCCTTTCAGGCTGCTCCCCGAAAAAATGACCCTCATCCCCCACAACATGTGGCAGGTGAGTCCAGAATCCCAAGCAGACAATGCTGGTTTGTGGGTCGCGGCCTCTCCTCAAAGGCGTGTTGTCACCCTAAGATAGTCAGCTTCACCGTAGTGGAGAATAGGGATCAGTTTTGGGGGGTGTTTAAAGAAGACACCCCCCCCCCGTGCAGCGGTCTTCCTGACCCCCGTCGTTTTTGCCTCCAACCACAGGTGATGTCGGAAGGGGGTCCCCAGCCTCAATCCCTGATCCACTTTTCGATCAGTAACCGAACCGTGGCCGAGGTAAACGGGCTGGGACAAGTCACGGCCAAGGCGGTGGGCACCGCCTTTATCCTGGGCACCATTCGCGCCGTCAGTGAAGACACGGGAAAAGTTATTGTCTTCTCCCAGGTATGTTTCGGGGATGCTGGCAAATGCTTCCTTCACCTGGGATGACTTTATCACTTCTGGGCCTCTTCCCCTCCCGGCCATCTCCGATGGTCACCTACTCCGAAGCCCATCGCTTCTCCTTCCTTGTGGGACCTTCCCCCCCCTTTTTGGGATCCACGCGTGAACGCCACTGTCCTCGTCCGCGAGGCCTCCCGCTTGGCCTTCCTCGCCAGGAGGGGATGATGGGTTGAAGAACCCAACGGGCTTGATGGGCCCCAAGGTGGCAGGGTGGATGTGCGAACCTGAAAATCCGGTGGTCCTCGGCTTAAGGCCGTTTAAGTGGCCTTTAGAAACCCCTGGGGAAAAAAAGGGGGGGTGTGGCCCACCAACCGCCTTGCTTAGCGAGGGTAATTCGGGCCTCCTCGCTGCGGTCGTAAGTCGAGGACGACCCACGCACGGAGGCTGGAGGAGGCATCGGCCTCCGCATGTCGTCTCCAGAGGGACGTACCCAATCCGTCTCCCTCCTCAGGATCAAGTCGAGATGGAAGTGGTGCAGCTGCGGATGATTCGAATCCACGCCCCGGCCACTCGACTCGTCACTGGCACCCAGGTGGGTCTAGCGGGTCACCCCGTTGTGTCTCACGCCCCGTCCGTGAAAATCTGTGGGCCACTAATGTAAGGTGCCCTCTATCTCTATCACCTATGTCTATTTATCTATCTATTCTATATCTATTTATTTTTCTTTCTTTCTTTCTATCTATCTATCTATCTATCTATCTATCTATCTATCTATCTATCTATCATCTATCTCTCTATCTCTATCTATCTATCTATCTATCTATCTATCTATCTATCTATCTATCTATCTATCTATCTATCTATCTATCTGTTTATCTTATATCTATCTTTATATTTATCATCTATCTATCTATCTCTGTCTATCTGTCTGTCTGTCTGTCTATCTATCTATCTATCTATCTATCTATCATATAAACTTTGTATTCATTTATCTGTCTGTCTGTCTGTCTATCTATCTATCTATGTATCTATCTATCATATAAACTATGTATTCATTTATCTGTCTGTCTGTCTGACTGTTTGTCTACCTACCTACCTACCTACCTACAAATGTATATACATATGCATGTATATACATACACATACATATAAATATATGTACATTAATCATAAACTATTTAAAATAATAAACAGTCTTCAGAGTTAACAAGGTTGATACTGTATACTGAGCAGAGAGTTGGACTAGAAGACCTTCAGGATCCCTTCCAACACTATTCTTTCTCCTTCCTTCCTTCCTTCCTTCCTTCCTTCCTTCCTTCCTTCCTTCCTTCCTTCATTCATTCATTCATTCATTCATTCATTCATTCCCTCCTCCATCACTGGAGGTTTTTAAGAAGAGATTGGACAGCCACTTGAGCGGGGGGTGGGGTTGGACTAGAGGACCTCCAAGGTCCCTCCCGACTCTGTGATCCTGTTAATCTCCCCTTTGCAGATGCCTGTGTATGTTGTGGGCCTGACCAGCACCCTGACTCCCTTCTCCTTCGGGAACTCTCGTCCACCCCTCACCTTCCACTGGGCAGTGAGCAAGCGGGACATCTTGGACCTCCTCCCCAGACACTCGGAGGTATGAAAGACCCTCCCTCCTTTCAAACTCTCTGACCCCATTTTAGCCACACACACATACGCCTCCCCCACCTTCCCTGCAGTGTTTCTCAACCTGGGCATCTTTTAAGATGAGTGGACTTCAGGTAGCTGAGGAATTCGGGGGGGGTCAGGCTATAAATATCAATATTATCGGTGGTTAGAGAAGAGATATAAGAATGACTAGTCCAAGAAGCTATCTAAAGTGTTGAAAAAGCGTTAAATTGTCAATGTAACTAATAGAGTCAAATAAATTACAATGGGGTTGGTGTGATATTAGATACGTAAGGTGTTGGAAATTAAGCCAAGGTGAAATAACGAATAAGATTGTATATTTTAACATTGGCACAAAATATTCTGTACCCCAACGACACACTGGTTAATGGGAAATGGATTGTTTGTGTAAAAATAAACTAATTTCTTTTTTAAAAAAATAAAGAATATAAATATATTGATATTTATTGATATTTAAATATATTTATTTCACGTACAAGGACAGTCCATCCCTGACTTAACGTTACCATTCATTTAGTGGCCGTTCTAAGGTACGACGGCAGGGAAAAGATCATTTTCCACACTTGCGACCGTTGCAACATCTTCCCAAATTTTTAGGCGCTTGGCAACTGATTCGTCTTTATGACGGTCGCTGTGTCCCCCCGCGATCTCCTCTGGCGACCTTATTCACTTAACGACTGTGTGACTAACACAACCACGGCGGCCAGTCCCTTAACAAAAAACTTTTAACAAAACTTCCCGAAGAGAATGTCTCAACCGAGCAACAGAAAGTCGCGGTCGTTAAAGCCGAGGACTGCCACTTGTAATATACCGCCCGCCTCACCACCCTCGGGCGACTTTTCCCCACCAGATTTCGCTGGCCCTCCCTCCGGAGAGCAATTTCGCCATGGGGGTCCGGACCAGAGCCGCGGGCAGGACCAGCATCAGGGTGGCGGTGCGGACTTCGGACGCCGAAGCCGGGCAGTTTGAAGGGAACGCCACCGAACTCCTGGACGAGGTGCAGATCCTGGTAAGGAATCGAGGGAATCGGTGGGCACTTCTTCGCTTTCTCTTGGTCTTCCTTCCTCGATTGTTCCCGAGGGACCCTAGGGCTGGAAGGGGGAACTTGGAGGTCATCTATTCCAACCCCCGGCCAAGGATGCAGTTTGGTCTGCCTTCCTCAGCCTTGGCTGTTCCCAAGGAATATCCTAGGTCCGGAAGAGACCTTGGAGGTCATCCAGTCCAACCCTCTGCCCACGGTGTCCTGATACCATCCCGAGCAAACCTTTTGTTGGAAAACCTGCAGCCTTGAATGTTGAAATTGGAGGCACCGTCTTCTCCTGTGCTGCTGAAAGTCCCTTCATCTCCCTCCCTCCCTCCTTCCCTCTCTCACATTCTTTCTTCCCCCCCCCCCCAATCCTTTTACAGGTCTTCGACAACCTTCAGCTCTTCTCTCCAGAGTGCCCCGCGGAGCAGATCCTGATGTCCATGAATTCGCAGCTCAGGTTGCTTACAAACAGGTACGAGGGACGGTTCTCAGACAGGGAGAGCACTGCGTGTCTCCGCATAGGTGGTGGGAAATCAGGAGCCTGCCTTAGTTAGACGACGCTGACTTCGAAACTGCCTGTGGAGATTCTCCCTCGTCCAGGTCATGGTTGTCCCGTCCCCCCCACACAAAGGTGCTTTTTTTCCCCAGGAGTCTCTTGTGTTTTTTTCTTCGAAGACGTTTTGTTTCTCACCCGAGTGGCTCCTTCAGCTCTGTCTGGATGGTTGGGGAATGGAAGGATTTAAATCCCTTGCAGGCAGCTGGTCATTTGCATCCTTCGAGAGGGTCCTAGAGGCCCCTTGGAGGTTTCTCCGTGTCCTCGGGGTCCTCGCCTGAGCGGTGTGGGCCTTCCTGGGACTGCTGAAAGGACCTGCGTTGTAGGCTGGAGAGAGATGAGGTCACATCCCTCCCTCCTTCTCCGTTGAGGGGAGTTCGGCCCGTTCAGTTTGGACACAGATGGGCTCTTGGAGGCCTTTCCGCATCCCAGTTGCAAACCCCTCACAGCCCACAGGTGGTGGACCCCCGCCTTAGACGATTCCAGCCAAACGGTTGTCCAGGGATGGAGCCCGCACAGCTTCCTCCCTCCCTTACCCAAAACGGGGGCTTTGAAGTGGTGGTGTAGGGCTTCCTTGCCTAAGCAGGGGGTTGGACTAGAAGACCTCCAAGACCTCCTTCCCGCTCCGTCCTCCTACATTCTCTCTCCCCTTCCTCTCTCTAGGGACGGGGCTGCCTTTGTCAGCACCCAGATCCTGCAGTGCTTCCCCAATTCCTCGGTCATCGAAGAGGACAGGCACGGCCTCCTGAAGGCCGGAGCCGTCACGGGGACGGCCGTTCTGGAGGTGACCTCTCTGGAGCTCTTCGGCGTCAACCAGACGGTCATCACGGGTGTGCGGGTAAGGGGACGGGACGGGACGGGGGACAACTACGGGAGAGGCCTGCCTCGTCCCGCGCGGGAGCTCCTCCATCCCCGGGGAGTTGAGAATACCCCGTTTTCTACCCAGGTGGCCCCGGTCTCTTACCTGCAGTTCAGCAGCACCCCAAAACTCTACACCGCCGCCCGGACGCCCCTGCTGGCGTTTCCCTTGGGCATGGCCCTGACTCTCACCGTTCGGTTCTTCGACAGCGCCGGGGTCAGGTTTCACACCCAGAATAACCAGCTGCAGCTGGCCTTGAACAGGTATGCTGTCGTTGTCCCCTGTGGGAAAGGCAGGTTCAAGGGGAGGCTTTATGGGCACCTCTGGAAAGCAGCCGGGAGGGTGGGGGTGTTGAGTAGATTTGCAACAGTTGGTTTAGTGACGGACGTTACAACGGTTTTGTTACAACAATATTGTTTCCTAGCATGATTTGATTGAGTGCTGTATCTTACGATTCGTTATGATTTTTTTTATGTATACTGAGAGCATCAGCACCAAAGACAAATTCCTTGTGTGTCCAATCACATTTGGCCAATAAAGAATTCTCTTCTCTTTTCCCTTCCCACCCCAGTCCATTCCTTTATTTTATTTTATTTATTCTATTCTATTCCTTCATTCCTCTATTCCATTCCATCCTATTCCTTTTTTCCCTATTGTATTCTATTTATGCTAAAAAGTGGTTTAGGACTTTCTCCCCCACACTTACGACTGTCGCACTATCCCCGTGGCCACGCGAGCAAAATTTAGACGTTGGGCGACCGTCTCATATTTATAACGGCCGCAGCTTCCCGTCGTCCCCTTTTGCAACCTCCCGACAATGGGAAATCCAGACTCACTTAACAACCACGGGGCTGACTTTGCAACCGCAGGTGTTCCACTTCACTCCTGGGAAAAGAAAGACGGGTCGAAACTCCCTTCGGGAGCGCCAGGGAAACTTTACACTCTCTTGGCGGTTGTCAGCCGAGGGCGACATTGTGGTTCATTCCCCTCTTTTTAGGGATGACCTCTTGCTGATCCGGCCCAGCAACCAGAACTACACTTACACCGCTCAAGCCGTGAACCGAGGCGTGACGCTGGTGGGGGTTTGGGACGAGAGGCACCCGGGCATGGCCGATTACATTTCCGTCCCCGTGGAACACGCCATCGGGCCCGATCTCTCCGCCCCCCTGGCTGTGGGGGACGTGGTCTGCTTCAGCACACCCCTGGTTAATCAGGAAGGTCAGTGGAACAGCGGCGGGGGGGTCTCTCCTGGGTGGGTGTGGGTGGTGGGGGTTGTGTTGCTGTCACGATTCCAAGTAATAAAATAAAACTCCGAGCCTTGGGCTTCCTCAAAGCTCCATTTTATTAGAGTTATCATGTTGGCACAGCTGGGAAAACCTAAATCTTGACAGCTTCCAAGTTTTCCCCACCCAGCTGAAAGTCCAAGACCCTTCCCCCAACACCCACAAGTCCATCCCGTGCTCCAATCACTCATTGCCAAGTGCAGAGGCCACGATGACCTTGGTTTTCTCAGAAGAATGTTGTTATGGCTACGTATCACCCATACTCTGTAGAATTCCCCCGTCCCATTTCCCCCACAGTGGAAAGTGGGTGGAAGATGGCTTCCAGTTGCTTTTTGGGGGCGAAAGGACGTCAGCGAGGATGAGCCAATCCTCCTCCTCGCCCTTCTCTGCCTCCCTACTCCTACAGAGCCGAGGTGGCGCAGTGGTTAAATGCAGCACTGCAGGCTACTTCAGCTGACTGCAGTTCTGCAGTTCGGC